TTACTTTCCAGCTCTAGAGAAATCAGGAATAGCTGTAGAATAGTCAAAGGGAAATATTTTCAGCTGGAAATTTATTTAGACGAAAGAGAACATGACTTGAGCTTGCCAGGATTAAACTAAATGTTGAATACGTTTTGGAGCTTAGATTAATTTTGTTTAGTGTTGTTTTCTCCAAATATCTACAGCTTCTGATTTCCTGTAAAGCATCAGTATCAAGGGATAGTTTATTCTCTTATTCTTGTAGACTCTGACATAGCTAGTGCTTGCTGAAAACAATAAGGGGAATTCTTCTCAGTTGCTATAGCTGTAGGCTGTTTTGGCCAGAGGCTTGGGCCTTTACAGCTAGTGCTCGACTTACGACCATGATTGGTTCCGACAGACCAGTCGTAACACGATTTGGTCGTAAGTTGAGTAGGCTATATGCACGCGGAGATGGTAGTGCTGCCGGAAGCTGGTCCACACTGTCGTACACCCAGCTGGGCAACGTTTGCGCTGCCAGACGCAGAGCAGTTGTGGCTAGCTATTGTGGTCGTAAAGTTGAGTGGTCATAAGTTGCATAGGTCGTAAGTCAATCAATACCTGTATTTCACTGATCAGTCCATAAACACATATTGAGTGTCCACTGTATGCCAGGCACCATGCCAGACGTGTCACATATTCAAAGAAAGACTTTTGGAATAGACCCTGCCTTCCAGAAGCTAAGATGTCCACATTAGAAAGGAGAAAAAATTGATGCCCAGCGATTGTTCTAGCTAGAGTGTGATACAGGCTTTAAGCAGTGAGTGGGAAAGTTACTTCATCCATCCATTCATCCATCCATCCATCCATCCATCCCTTCATTCATTCATGGTGCTGTTCTGTGCCAGGGGAAACTTCTCAGAGGAATCTCTCCTCTTAGGTTCATATGGGGTAGAAGATGATATTTTCTAGTTGGAATGCACAGACAAAATCACAGCTCATAATTAGCTGACAGCTAAAGGTGAAGAGGTTTTCAGGTCTGGCGACCTGGCTGAGGGGTTTATTCATTTTCCCATTCAAAGGGGAGGTGATGGGGATTGATAAACAGAAGAGGCAAAACATGCAGGGGGTATTTTTGGTGGTTTTTCTTGACAAGGTCTCACTCTGTTGCCCAGGCTGGAGTATATTTTCATCTTGGCTCACTGCAACCTCTGCCTCCCAGCTTCAAGTGATTCTCCTGCCTCAGCCTCCTGGGTACCTGGGATTACAGGCATGTACCACCACGCCTGGCTAACTTTTGTATTTTTTAATAGAGATAGGTTTTACCACATTGGCCAGGCTTGTCTTGAACTCCTGACTTCAAATGACACCCCCCCCCCAACTCGGCCCCCCAAATGGTTTGGATTGTAGGTGTGAGCCACTGTGCCCAGCTGGTGTTTTTTTGTTTGTTTTTAATTTCGACTTTTATTTTAGATTCAGGGAGTGTATGTGTGGGTTTGTTACCTGGGTACACTGTGTGACGTTGAGGTTTTGGGTATGATTAATCCCATCAGCCAGGTATTGAGCATAGCATCCAATAGTTTTTTAACCCTTACCTCCCTTCCTCCCTCCCAGTAGCCCCCAGTTTCTGTTGTTGCCATCTTTTTGTCCATGCTGTATACGCTTCTTCCTAAGGCCCCAACATTCACTCCCATGACTGTCAGGAGGTGGAGGGATGTGGTTGACAGGTGTTTCATAATTTGTTTCTTAGTCCTAGTTAGGGGCAGTGTTAGAATAAACCTGAGTCTGAGGAAATTCAGTCCCCTTTCTGAGTACCTCTAGTTCTGGATTGGATGATGGCATCTCAAGACCAGAGATTTTGAGGCTTTTTGAAGCAGAGAAATCTTAGGGAGCAGCCCTGTAGCTGCCCCTATTTCATCCTTACCAAACGACAGTTCTTCAAGGAACTACTGGCTCCTTGACTGCATGCATAAATGGAGAATAGGCGGAAACTCCACTAGTCATTTTAAAAATTCCTTGGTTTCAGGTGTCTACACTGGGAGTGCTGTGTTCTGGATACACAGAAGTAAATAGATGAGTAATAGACAATTAGAGAAGTAAATAGACCGTTCATTCTAGACTATGTCTCCTCTGTTGTCATGACTCTAGAGAAGATGTAGTCTAGAATGAATGATTACACTCACGCATTTGTGCTTACAAGTTTTGTAGTAAGTCTGAGGGATGATGATAGACTGTAGATTGTGGGTGGACCTTCTATAGAACGGTTTCTATGGGGAAGTAACCTATAAAATGAGACAGGATGGTTGTCTAGGCTGGGGAGAGCATTCCAAGTGAAACAGGGAAAGGCTTTGCCCTTTGAGGACCTGAAACGCAGCCTCAGTGCGTGATGGGGAGGGCTGCTTCCACCTTCTCCACTGCTACCACACGTCCAAGCCACCATCATCTGCCTCTACCTGGACCAGTGCAGGAGCCTCCTTGTTGATCTTGCAGCTTCTATTTTATCCTGACCCTCCTTTCTTTCCTGCCCCACCCAAGCCAGTGTGTTTTCCACACCTCTATAGAGATTCCTTATGAAAGGAATCATGTAATGTCACTCCTCTATCCTCAGCTCTCCGACAGCCCAAAGCCTTTCCTGTGGCTGACCACGCCCTGCATATTCTGGGCTCTGATGCCCCTCCGCCCCCTTTCCCATATCTGTTGACTTGCTCTCTGTTCTTTAGGCACGCTGACCTCCCTATGTGGAGCTCTTGCTCTCACGCTTGCTCTCAGAGTTGTTATGCTTGCTCTCTCTCTGCCTGGGTTCATCTTCACTCACATGTTGGCTCCTTCATTCCACCCAGGTCTCTGCTCAAATGTTTCCCTTCTCTGTAGAGGCCTCTTTTCTTGAAAAAAAGTATTCTTTAGCCTGCTTCAGTTTTCTTTCCATAGCTTTTCCCTGCATGAGGTTATGTTCTACGTGTGTGTGTGTGTGTGTGCGTGTGTGTGTGTGTTTTCCAGTCTTTCTCACAACAATAAAAGCTGTAGGATGTCAAGGTCTTTGCTGTGTCCACTGATATGTTCCTACCACCTGGACTGGTACCTGGCATAGTAATGGATGCTTACTGAATATTTGTGAATGAACAAATGAATCATCATTCATGCAGGAGAAGTAGGCTAAGTCAGTGCATCTGGGGCCTTGTGAGACTTAAACGATACAAAGTGGACATTGTATCCTAAGGGACATGAGTTTAAAGGATTTCAAACATGGGAATGACAAGATGAGTTAAATTTTGGAGTTAGAGTTCCAAAGCCTTGTTTGGCTTTGAAATGGAAAGTTGAAGGAGAAGGAGATGGCAGGGATGACCAGGTTCATATGAAGAACAATGGAACAGAAAGAGGTGGCATTTGCTGAGAGGTGCAGTCTGGGGAGAGTGGTTTCTTAAAGTTCAGTGGCTTGAGGTAAGTGAGAGATGCCTGGGAGATGTCCAGGTGGGTGTGGCAAGTAGGGCTCGATGTGCAGGGTGGAAATGCCACTAGAGGGCAATTGTGCTTTTCCCTATGGGGAATTGGGGCTGCACATTACATGCCAGGCTGAAGATCTAAGCAGTGCTTGCTGTTTGTTCTGTTGAAAGGTCTGTTGTCTCAGGACTTTTAAGCATTTCACAGGTCACAAGCAGTTATTTTTCTTTCTTGGGAACGGGGCAGGAGAGCCTTGTTTTTTCTAGTGACTGATTTCTTGTTAATTGACTGGTTGCTCCCTAACTACTGACTGGATGACCTTGGACAAGTGAAACTTTGTGAGGTCTAGTTTCCTCTTCTGTAAAAATCCATAATAATTATTATCGCCTAAATGTTTTAGTACAAATTAGATGACAGAATGCAAGTAAAGTATCGTACAGGGATAGAACTGATACTTAAGTTAGTTTAATTTTGATGGACAGCTACAAATCTTCAGCTTCCTGCTGCTCCCTCACCTCTTCCCCTAACCTCACAGATAATTCACCAATTCCAGGCTCTCTCCCTTTCCAGGAAGTCTAGCCTGCTGACACCTCAGATGCATACCTCCCTTAAATGGCTGTCTCTCTCTTTTCAGGATATCAACCAGAAACTCCAGGAGGACAACCAGGAACTGAGGGACCTCTGTTGCTTCCTGGATGATGACCGGCAGAAAGGCAAGAGGGTGTCCCGGGAGTGGCAGAGACTGGGTCGCTACACTGCCGGGGTGATGCACAAGGAAGTGGCCTTATACCTGCAGAAGCTGAAAGAGCTGGAGGTGAAGCAGGAGGAAGTGGTGAAGGAGAACATGGAGCTCAAGGAGCTCTGCGTGCTGCTGGACGAAGAGAAGGGTGCGGGCTGCGCCGGCAGCCGCTGCTCCATTGACAGCCAGGCCAGCCTGTGCCAGCTCACGGCCTCCACCGCGCCCTACGTGCGGGATGTGGGTGACGGCAGCAGCACCTCCAGCACCGGCAGCACTGACAGTCCAGACCACCACAAGCACCATGCGAGCAGTGGCAGCCCGGAGCACCTGCAGAAGCCCCGGAGCGAGGGCAGCCCGGAGCACGCCAAGCACAGGAGCACTAGCCCCGAGCATCCACAGAAACCCAGGGCCTGCGGGACCCCAGATCACCCCAAAGCACTCAAAGGACCTAGCCCGGAGCACCACAAACCCTTGTGCAAGGGCAGCCCCGAACAGCAAAGGCACCCGCATCCAGGGAGCAGCCCCGAAACGCTGCCTAAGCACGTGCTGAGTGGGAGCCCGGAGCACTTCCAGAAGCACCGGTCAGGGGGCAGCCCTGAACACACCCGGCACAGTGGAGGGAGCCCGGAGCATCTTCAGAAACACGCCCTCGGGGGCAGCCTAGAGCATCTCCCCAGAGCCAGGGGCACCAGCCCGGAGCACCTCAAACAACATTTTGGAGGGAGCCCTGATCACAAACACGGAGGCGGCGGTGGAGGAGGTGGAGGCAGCGGAGGAGGCAGCAGGGAGGGCACCCTCAGACGGCAGGCGCAGGAGGACGGGTCACCCCATCACCGCAATGTCTACAGTGGCATGAACGGTGGGTCAGTACGTGCTGGGGCGCTGCTTGGGCTGGGAAACTCAGCAGATAGTTATAAAAGATTACGGGCTTTCCAGCCATGTGAGAGAGTGCAGGTGCTGGCTAGGGAGTGGGTATGGGGAAGGAGCAAACGTTGGACCCAAAATCATGATGTCGGGTTCTTCTCCTCCATCTGTTTTTATTTTATGCAGTTATCACTCAGCCTGAAGAAGGTTGGGGATGAGAGGTGGTGGGAGGGAGAGGAACAGTAACTCCTTAGGACCCTGAGTTGTCAAGGTGAAATCTGTGGTATTGGAGATAAAACATAGAACCATTCTAAGAGTCTTTCACCTTAAACCTGAGCATTTTCCTAGTGGTGTGTTGTTTCCTGCAAGGGCTTGCTTGTGGAATGGTTGCCAAAAGGTTTTTGAATTCAGTTAATAGGTTATGTACAAGAAGAAATGAATATTTCTTATGAAAAACCAATAACATTAGAAAAGAAATACGATGTTCCTAAACAGGCTTGATGCTGGTTTGCCCAAATGCCTATAAATATGCCTGACTTTTCCATGAGGATTTTTTCCATTGTGTTGGGGGTCAGAATTTGTGAAATTTCTTTACATTTAAAATGCATCAGCTGATTCCTTTTTTACTCACTCAAAACACACCAACACTATCACTGAACTCCCTTATACATATTCCAAATAATACGTGGTTTTCCATTGCAAGAGACATCTTTCCTGGTTGGTTGAATGTACCTTTTTAAAATGTACAGATGTGCTTGGACACTCTTTTGGTTTCTAAATCATAACATCTGCTGCACTTGCTGAGGCAGTGCTAAACCTGGGCTTTTAAACCTTTTGGAAGAAGTTCAATTTTCTGGATGTTGGATCTGAAACCACTTCGAACTTGAGAGAGAGAAAAAAATGATTTCTTAAAGAATAAAAACCAAAATAAACTCCACAATCCTTTTATGTTACCTTTGGTTGAGTTGGAGCTAAAATGGTTGATTTTATAAACTGTGGGTTTTTTTTTAATTGAAAATATCTGAGGGTTTTTGCTTTATTTAAAAGGTGCTCTGGAGTCTGCAGCCAACTCCAAGCAGTAATGGAGGAGGCTGCCAGTTTTAGCAGTGACAAGAAGAGTAAATTTTCAATATTGTATTTGGGCATTTACCTGTTGGATTCCATTTTATCCTAATCCTTTTCTCATAGTGCTGAAAATTGACTCCTGAAACTTGACTTCGAATGCAAGCCATGTTCTTTTAGGTACAAATGGAAATAAAAAGTTTGGAAACATGGGAGGCCACTGCTTTATTGTTGGATGTTGGATCTGAAACCACTTCGAACTTAAGAGGTGGAGGCTCAGAGAAGCCAATTCACCTGTTGCATTGAGGCTTCCTGGCTGGTGCCTTTCCAAGGTTGAACCTTCACTAACTGTTGCCAAGAGCTGTGGAGATGCTGCCCCCACCCCCACCCTATTGCTATAGACACTCTTGGCTACCCAATTCTGTATAAGAGATGCAAGTCATTCAAAAAGAAAGTTTGGCTATGTTACTATCATGAGATTGGTCATTGGCCATGAAGCTTGTCTTTGGAGGGGGGATAATAGAGTCATGGGAAGGTAAAGTTAATGATTTTTCCATTTCTTGATTACTTTTTGATGAGCTTGAGAAGTAAATTATAAGGAAACTTTGTATCTTAAACTAAAAAGAAAATATTAGGGGAAAGTTGATCACTTAAAAAAACAATTTCTCTTTACCAAAGGGCTCCTTTATCTAAAGAACTCCTCTAGTTTAATCATCATTTGACTTGACTTCTAAGAAAAGTTTTTAGTTGCAGCTTTTAAACAGTGCCTTGCATGGTAAGTAAGGTGTATCTCCTGGTAAAGATGACAGTACATCGTAGCTTATTGATTACCTGGTACAGATAAACTTAGTGGGGCAGGTAATTGTTTCTTAAAATTTAACAATTTAATTTAGTTAAAACTGATGTAATAGAATGATACTGTAGTTGAAATCTTATGTCTACTTCAAGTTTTCTCATTCTTGAGTGACCAATCTTATGCCGACAGTTGATATCCTCAGAGTATATTTGCAGTGCATTTGCATTACATTTTAATTTCAGTAATTAATTGGAAAATGAAGTGGCACAATGAGATGTCTATGGATCATCAGCCTATAAACATGGGCATTGGTAACTTGTATTTATCCTGCTGTTACAAATTAATTTTTGATATGGATGGTAAGACCTGCTTTTCTGTATTTTTAAATCCTCACACCGTTTATTCAAGTCATTGGTGTGTAAATAGACAGGAAGCAATATCAAGGTTAATTCAGAATTGCAGATTTGCTGACTCATTTCCAGAGTCATTCTGCTTGGGGTTGGTGTGAAATATGAGTGTTTAGGATGAGCACTTGCATGTTTTTACATGAACAAAAAGCAGGTAAAAACTAATGGGAAGTGTGTGTACATTATGGCAAACTGAAACAGAAATGAAATATACATTGGCAGGAAATTGTCCTACCTGTAAAGATATGCATTCCCTCACAAAACACATACATATACACACTGAGAGAACATTAGTGAAAAAGATGGCTATTTTAGTTGACAATGCCTTGAGCATTTGTTAATCTACTTGTGCTTATAATTACAAACTCAGTGGATGAAATAGTTGAACATGTTAAAGAGTTTTTTTGGGTGAATGCAAAGATAAATTTTAGCTGTTTTTCCTCTCTTAAAAACATCTTAAGTCTGTAGAATAATTTCTTAATTAGTAGGTGTATAGAAAACAACAAAAGCAAAAACAAATGAAACTTTTAAACAAACCTCCAAACTACACAAAATTCTCAAGAATGCATTTAATTCTGTAGAAGTTATTGTTCAATGGTTTCTTTCTAGTTTGTGTAGAGTTCCATTTTCAAATAGGAAGTAGATTCAACACTTATCACATCTAGACATTACTGCATTTGTCCATTCAAGTTGCTTATTTCAGATTTGTAAATTAAGTAATTAAATAACCACTGCTATCTATAAATGTTTTTAAACTGACAGCCTCAAGTATTGAGAATGGAGGTTTCAACCCTTACTTGATTCCATTGACATTCAAGGGTGAATGGAATTTTCTTAGGTGAAAGTGTTTGCTTCCACAATGTAAGGAAGGAGTTTTGCTTCCAGATCCTAGCTGGCAGGCCTTTGCTTTAACAGGTAACTATTTAGCTCAGGTCATGGATGTCTTGGATGATTTAGGTTCTTCTAGCAATAGCTCTGTTTGTTATTGCCCTTCAAGACGAAGAAGATTCTGATGATCAGAGATCCTTACAAGAAGTTCCCCCACCAGATACAGTGAATGCAGAAGAAAAAATGGTGAAAATAATTTGATTTTAATTCTAGAAGCACATATTGCTGGCTACTGCCAAATAAGAAGGAACAATAGACAACAAAACGATACTCTTCATTACCTTTTTTCTTCTTCTTAAAAAAAAAAAAGGAATTGTTTAGTCATCCTGGTGGGTCTGATTCCCTTTGCCTTGTTAGAGCAAGTTTCAGTGAACGGTAGCATTGTGCCCTCCTTAAACATCACTCTAGCCAATGAGAGCAAGCATGAGGAAATCATTCACTTGCATTGAACAGGGTCCATTTAGACCTACTTTGGTCTTGCTGAATAGAGTGTCAGGGTTGTAAGTCTTCCTCCTGAAAGCTTCCTATTGATTCTTTTCTTGTTTTGTGAGGGTATCTCTCAAGATTGAAAGAGTAGGCTGTTTCTCTCAACAACTCTTCTTCTAGTTCAGGGTTTCTTTACAGCTACACTATTATTATTTTGGACCAGATAATTCTTTGTTGTGAGGTGCTGCCTTATGCATTTTAGTAGGAGTGTTGGCAGCATCCCTGGGCTTTACCTCTGAGCATCCCCCCTAGTTGTGATAATAAAAAATGTCTCCAGACACTGTCAGTGTTTCAGGGTGGAGGGTAGTCAGAATGCCTCTGGTTCAAAACCATTGCTTTAGAGCAGTGGTTTTCAGTCTGGTCGCAGATTAAAATCACTGTGAGAGCTTTGAAAAAATGCAGGTGACTGAGCCCTGCACTGCACTCAGAGATGCAAATTGAGTTGGTCTGGTGCTGGGCTTGGGCACTTTGCAAAAAGAGCTCCTCAGGTGATTCTAATGAGCGGACCAGTTGAAAATCATTGCCCTCAATGAGAGATTTTTGCTTAAGATGAGTTGCTGTGAGTGGAAGTTTTAAACACTTAAGTTTCCTGAGAGGAAGAAAAGCTAACTTCTCCTTTTCCTTTGCTTAACTCCAGAACTGAGAAGGATGGACCCCAGCTGTTACCATAAAACTTCATTCCATTCTAGACTAAAGTTGTCTACTAACATACTGTTTTAGGATATGGGTTGAAAATTTGTGTTTTTTGATGGGTGGAGTTGTTAGGCTAATTTGGGGGAAACTCTGGCATATGAGAGGTTTATGACTGCTTTACTTTTTAAAGCCTTCACATCCAAATAGAAAAAGAAGAGCACTTGAGTTTCTAACCTATTTACGGCAGATGTCGGTGCACTGCTTGCAATGCTAATGCATATTTCCCGCAAGAGAATATTGTATTTCAAATCTCCCACTTTATAGGTTTCGCCCTGAGTTTTAGGACTGCTCCTTATCCTCTGTTGAAGTTATTAATGAGTAAACAAAAAATGTTGATAACACAAAGTGTTATCACCCCTGTCTATGAGGGGTCAGATAACCTGCATTTGGAAGACCCCAGCAGTATTTCTCTGCAGCAGGATTGTCTGTAAATTGAGTCGTGTGCACTATAGCATGAATAATTGCTCTCATAAATCTTTTATTTTGCTTAAGAAAAGTCAGAACATCACTTATGAATGAATTTGGACAATAGAAATTGAGTGTCTCCTGGGAGAAAAATTTTGACAGTTGCAGTTATGGAATGCCAGAATTGGCTTTAATTGAGCCTCTCTGTGTGCATTTTCTATTGTGTGAACTGACAGATGGTTAAAGAAGTAAATAATGGCTTTTTTTCCTCAATCTTGAGTACTGTAATTTGGTAACCTTATATGCACTTTGATGAGACATTGATTTAAGGTTTTGATAAAATTAATTTATTATACCATGCTTGCATTTGCAAAGCATATTACATTTATCATAGGATACATTTTGACTTAATGATATAGAAAGCTTAATATTGAAAATGTAGTTTGTTTAAGAAAATTGCAGAATATCTCAGAGGCAAACTATTGGAAAACCTAGGTGGCTTAGAAAGATATTTTTTAGCACAATGTAAGGTTTTCAACTCTGCTGACAATGATAGCATGATGCTATAAATGTAATTTAAATCTGGAGGGTCATTTTCATCTTCTTCTTAAGATTGCCCGTCTGTCTGTCTGCCAGCATTGTGTGTATATATATGTACATATGTTTACATACATTTCTGTAACTTTAATATTGCCTCTGCACAATGCCAAACATTCAGTTGATTTCTGTTTGGTCAAGCATATGTTCAAATGTATCTAGCATCCCGTCACATAAACTAGTTGCTGCCGTAAAGTAAACCAAGAATCTCTTTCAACTGATTATAATCCTGTTCTCTAGACTCAATTGAAGCTAGTGAAATGTTTATATCTTCTGGCTCATTGCAACTTTTCAAAAGATATAATAGAAAAAAATGTGACCATTGAGTTAATGATGCATTTATTATTTCATTTTACCTGAAATAGTTGAGAACAAAGGATGTCGGGAAGTGGTAAGCTATGGTGAGTTATTTCATCAGGTCACAGCTTTTCACAAGTGTCAAGTGAATACACATACATGAATACAAATGCCTAAGTACGTGAATAAGTGAATGCAATACAAATACAAAATGTGTAGGGTTATACAGTTAAGTCGTAGTAATGAGGCATGGGGGTAGGGATCTTAGTTGAGCTCCACTGGTCAGAAATAAGAGTGTAAAGTCAAAGTTTGCCAAAGCTTTAAGAAAATAAATAATTATAATGTTTTACTTGTGTAGCAACTTTGGGCCAGCGTATCTGTGATTGGATTTAAGTTTTCCAGGCTTAAATGTATCACCGTAGGCTCCATGACTTACTTTTGATATTTAGAGATAGAACTGTGGATTCCTACATTAAATGGCCCTGTATGAATATTCTTTCTAAAATCTCCTGAAAATAGATTTCTAGTCACTTCTAGTACTGCCATGATGTCAGCTGCACTCTTTCCTGACCTCAGCAGGCCTGACTTTAACCCATTTTCTCAATGTTTATAAATTCTTTTCTGATGTTTCCAATGGCTGGTCATAGCTTGGGAATGCAGATAACTGCCCTGCTTAGAAATGTTTTTAAAATAAGGATAAATGATCATGAGGTGTCCTTCTAAGAGTAAACTACATGAGCTTCAGTGCGTATTCCACATGCCATAGGTATTTTAGCTTTTCAAGTTTCATTTTTGCTTGTTTTCTGAGTCATGATTATATTTCAGATAAATGAGGCACTATGTTTCTATAATATTATCAACTCACACATTTGCTTCTTGGATACGTTGGTATAACCAAGTTGCCCTTGATAGTATTTTAATATGTAGCATTTATGGTGAGCATTGAGCATATTTAGAAAAAATGTTTATTTGGAATTTGATTCTGGGACATAGTAAGAATAGTTTCATGTTTTGAAATGGGCTGATTTTTAAGAGTGCTAGGAAATTTGAGATTCAATATCAAGAGTAGACCTTGGGACACTTGAGAATACAGACATGAAATCTCAGCTTTAATTTATAAGGCTCTAATCTGCAAAAGAGTGAGGTTCAAGTTACTGCTGCTCCTGAAGCAAATTGCTTTCTCTTGAGAGTGCCATTCAAGTGTTTCCAATAGAAAGAACCTGTGCTCTTTCTTAGATAGAGGATTCTTTAGCAGTAGAGAGGCAGAAGAGGTGTTTTTGAAAAGGGAAAATGGCAGAGGAATAGCAGGTTACATTGCCATCCTTATAAGGGCAATACTGGTTTGTTGTTCCAAAGATAAAAGGCAGTAACTGGGTTATTCACAGATGGCTGTTCATTTACCATTTTTACGTAATAAAAATTACGTGTATTATGGAATTTTTGTCTCAAATCATTATGGAAGAATACAAGAAGTCTTGGGACTGCGTCCTGGCTCTGGATCAAAATTAGGCACATATTCAATTACTGGATGAATTATATCTAATAGTTTTAATTTGTTTATTTAAAAGTTCATCAGAACCTTAGTTATTTAGGCCTTCTGTAGGCTTCTTTATGAGACAGGACATATCTAAGGGAAAAAGAGTAGATTTGGTAATTTTTCAAAAACTATATTTCATTTATTTCATCTCTCTCTCCACACACACACCCCATTTGGTGTTCTTGTATGTATATTTCAGAACTTTAAGTGCATTACATTTAAAGATAGTGAATGACTTCTTTTTATACCTCCTTCCCCTTCATTTCAGCCATATGAAGGAAAGTGAATCCTTTAAACATTTTAAAATCTGGCAAACAAAATATTTATAGCACCAGTTTTGCCTGCTGGTGTGGTTGAGGGGTAGAATGTTTAGATTAACTTTGGAAGATCAGGCATTTGACAGTGGTCTCTGATACTCCCTGAGTGAGTTAGCTTTTCTAGTGAGATCTAGTCAGATATAGTCCTCATTGCATTAAACTCAGAATTTTGCCTTCTAATCTTGATTATAAAGAAAAGTGAAAAGTCTTCTCATCTTTCTCCTAATTATTGAGGGACTTTTTGGCTTTTAGGAAATCCCTGATCTGGGCTGTATGTAGCTATAACTTTCTAAGTGCCCCTAATTGCTGGTTCTTAAAAAATGTTAAAATGCATGAATTGCTTTTGGTGGCATGGTGTGTGTTTCCTTATCAGTAGGAAAGACAAAACCCAACTGGTAGTGAATATGCACATGCCTATTTATGTATATGCATTTATTGATGTATATAGTTATAGTTATTTATTCAGTTGAGAATATATGTATATAAATGCTAAAGAATAGAAAGACATAAGGACAATGTAGTTGCATTTAGTTTAGAACTTCATAGAATCATAGAACTTAAAGTCATAAAGTATACTCTACGATTAGAGCTGTGACGTACTCAACCCTCCCATGTTCTGAATGGAACAGTTGACTTCCAAAGAAGGTTAGTGAATTGTCCAAGGCCAGATGACAGTTAGTAGAGGACTAGAAACTATCAAGCTGACTCCCAGGGTACGGAGTCAGTTTTATAAAGAAGACATTTATTCTAGACGTAGAGGCCACTTGAAGTAGAGGTAATGGTAATGATAAAGACCCTAAATGTAATAATAAACCTGTTTTTCTCAATTGTTGTTGGAAATCCCAGATAACTAGAGGCGTGCAGTGACAAGAATGTGAGGCAAGATGAGTATCACTAGCCTCCGGCTTAGAAAAGTACCAAAGAAGACCTGGTGATCTATTAGGTGAGCTCAGATCTATTGCCTGGAAACCTCTGATTCAGCCAGATGGGACACACAGTTTACAGCTGGATGGACAACTACCAAAATGCATTTTGAATGGAAGGAGTATCCCTATTCCTAACCTGGAAGTCCAGCAACTTTAGTATCTTTTCTGCTGCCACTACATCCACTCACAGCTTTTTGATGATGTCTAGCAAATCTCACTAACCTTGCCTTACCCCCAACCATGAACCTCATATGGGAAATCTTTGTAACCATAGCTTCATTCTCCTGATCAAACATCACCACATGCTTATAGGACTTAACATACTAATTACAGCCCTTTACTCCCTATGCATATTAGTCACAATACAACGAGGAACATTCACGTACTACATTAACGGTATTAAACCTTCGTTTACATGAGAAAATACATTAATACTTATGTATCTTGCACCTATCTTCCTTCCACACAGACTCTCCTCACCACAAGGCCATATTCTTTCCAGATAAACATTCTTGAGAAGATGGTCTGACTAAGACTAAGATCTGGTCCTTACGTAGCCACTTGCATTCACAGCCAAAGTACTGTGTGTCTAGGAAAGTGTTGGTTTCTGGAATGCAAGAAACAGAAGGGAAAGAGACCAGGAGCAAAGGGATGGGCCAGATGGCAACACCAACTGCTCTCGAGGAGTTGTGTTTTTAATAACTCAGCTTACTGCAAACAAAACTAATTAAGCCAGTTATTCTGATTTATGCTACTATAGGCAGAAGTAAAGTACACTTACATTCCCCTTTTGATGGCATTTAAAAGGTCAAAATACCTGAGTTGCAGATTTTTGTTCATAGCAGCCTGGTCTGTTGAACCGCTCTTGAGAATTCAAATTAACCAAGCTCATTAATTCAGCATCTCTTCTGTTTCCCTAGACAGCAAGTACCAATTCGCCCATCCACCCAAACAAAATAATAAGACCCTGAAAGGCAAGTCATTAGTCGTATCTGCAGATGATGGATTAGATGTGATTTAACAGGAAAGTGAGGTAAGAGTCACTTCCTTATAGTAAGGAAAAGAGAGTGAAGATAACAGACAAAGGCAATTGAGAGACATCAGTTTTTGAGGGGGATGCTGTGAAGAATTTAAAAGAATCTGTTCGGCTGTGCATGTTGTAAATGGTCTATGTTGATTGGCAGGGCAGTCCTCTTCACTGTTACAAAAGCTGACCAGAATTACTCTGGTTATGGAGTCTTGGGAGAAAGTGTCTGAATTTAGATGCTTATTTTACATATGAGGACACTTATGAAGAGAGTACATTTATAATTATGATCAATTTGAGGTCTAGGAATAAACATTATCCAGGTGGTTTGCCATGAATAGCTCCCCTAGTATACTGACTTTCATGAGAAACAGTTTGGAATCAAGCTTTTCAAAATCTGTGGAAGAACAGGCTTGAAAATTGTGTGTGTGTGTGTGTGTGTGTGTGTGTGTGTGTATCTCTTTAGTACTTAAATGGAGATAAAGTCTTCAGTCCCTTGCTCTCAAACTATGTACCATGTGGTTTTCATCTTTAATTTCTTTGGCTTTTTTCCCCTTGCAGTCTCAAAATTGCCCACTGTGGGGTTTATTGGTCTAGCACATAAATCTGTCTTCAATGGAACCATTTTTGTTAGAGTCTATACAGCCAGGTATACAGCAGACATTCATTTGAAAAAGAGAGCTAAGCTGGTTTGATTATTTCTATTAGCAAAGCATATGTAGTTATTTTTACATTTTGAGCATCCCTGTGAACTTTCACCCATATGTTAAGGAAATATGTGTTACCTAGAATTGGCATATGGCATCTAAACTTTATTTACAGCTTTACAGCAATGAAAAACAATTTTATAAACCTTCTTTAGATAAATTCTATTTTAATTATGAATAAAAATGACATTTATTTAAAATATGTTTAAAACACTTTAAAATAATTGACTTAAATTCCCATGGAGTTTAAAAAGAATGATGTAATACACCAACTACCTGAAGGGCTTAATGATGGCACACTTACCCAGCTGGAGTTTTAGATTTGGAAATGGCTTTGCCACTTTCTTGCTATGTGGCCTTTAGCATACTATCAACCTTTGTGGACAAAATATTTATCCATCAGGCAAGGGGCTTGGAATAGAGATTTTCTGAGTTAGCAGTACCAGAATTTAGATTTCACAGGTAAATAAAACCTGAGAATAAACTGGAATTGCCAACTTTTTACTTCATTAGGTATAGATGGTAAAATAATCATCTGCTAACATCATAATTTCACAAAAGAAGATCCTTTAAATGTTTAAAATCAAAAATTACATATATTTAGTAAAGGGCAATCTTTTTCTCCAAAGAAATAGTGATAACATTGTATTCTTACATGGCTCTTCATTGTTTTGGAATGATAACCTATAATGAAGTGTTTGGATTCCTCAGTGCAACACAAAGTCCAGTTATAGTGCTGAACATGTTTTAAGACCTTATTTTTTTTAATCCCAGCCATCATAGAAAGTCTAATTTCGCATGGATTTGTATATTAATAGAAACCAGAGTGTTAACTCAGTTTTACTTAGGCAGGTTCTGGGTAAAGAAGCCAGAAACTGCATTCCATGCCGCTTCCAACTTCTTGTCCTTCCTCTTACCAGGAAAGGAAGAAAGGAGACTCATTTACCTGTATATCTAATTGGCTTGGATTGGCCACTCTGCTCCCTACCTGCTACTCACCTGACTTCCTCCAGGGATTGTGCACCTGTGCCTGGACTTCTGACATGGAACAATGAGGATGTGTTTGTTCTGACAAAAATTCTGTGTATAGGTGGAAAGTTCACCATGCACGGCATGACCTATAAAGAACCATTGTTCTAAATACTCTCTGCACTCCTGTGCCTGGTTGGGAACCTGTCAGGATTGCAGCAATTCATCTAGCAATATCAGAATCAACCACATCTTCTTTGAAGCACCACAGTGATGAGTCTGAACATTTCTTGGGAAACAGAGAGCTAAAGGGACTATAGTAGAAGTGACTTGGGATTTGTAATTTGTATACTTCTAAAATTTGTGGATAGTAGCTTTCTTTTGCTTGGTCAGGTCTCAGATGGCAGACTACAAATGGACTGGCCATGTGTATAGCATGGGCATTCTATGTCTACTTTCTCATATTTCTTCACGTTCCTTTAGGATAGGTCTCTGGAAAATCAGAGAGAAGGATTTTCCTTTCTACTCCATTGTAGACTTGATTTTCTTAGGTCTCTTTACTGTCTTTGTACTGGATGAGAGAGTATGGCTTATCAATTCAAGTTTGGAAGAGAGTAATCTAGTGACAAAACAGTGGCACCAGGCTCTTCGTATGTTTTAGTTATGTCCCATTTAAATGGGTTTTGATGATTTTTTTCCTGGAACCTTTGGGCAAAAGACAAGACATTTTCTCCTTTCTTTGGCACTTTACTTCTGTTACTTTACAGCTGATACTTGAACTAGTTTGGAGTAAGGCTCTTCAGTGAAATGGGGAGGGTAGCATTAACTGAAGGGAAGGGCAAAATCTATGGCAATTTCATTATAAATAATTGTGTTGACTAATTAGTCAGCCATGCATGCTAAATAATGTCAGGGATAATAGAGATTTATTACAACAAATTAAAGGCTAATCAGAGTGTGTCCAGAGATAAACAACATAGTAAAAGAAACATAAGTGGAAATAAGGGGAAGCATGAGCTGATAAGACTTATGGATGTGGGCAGTAGTAGGAAGCCAAATTCTGCTTGTATCTCATTTGCTTTGTATTTATCTGCACTGTTCCATGTGTAGATGAGAGATTGAGAATAAACACATACTCATTTATTTAACAAATACTTATTGTGTATTCCATGTGGGTACAGCTTGGTAGTAGGTATTGTGTGAGGTGTTCATGCTCTGACATGTCCATGTGAGGAGGTAAGTAACAATAAAGATGTGTGGTTAAGAAGCAAATAGCCAGGCGCGGTGGGTCATGCCTGTAATCCCAGTACTTTGGGAGGCCAGGAGGGTGGATCACCTGAGGTCAGGAGCTCAAGACTAGCCTTACCAACATGGTGAAACCCCCTCTCTACTAAAAATACAAAAAAATTAGCTGGGTTTGATGGTGGGCATTATAATCCCAGCTACTAGGGAGACTGAGGCAGGAGAATCGCTTGAACCTGGGAAGCGGAGGTTACAGTGAGCCAAGATCACACTATTGCAATCCAGCCTGGGCAACAAGAGAAAACTCCATCTCAAAAATAAAAGGGCGGGGGGTGGGGGAAGAAGAAGAAGCAGCATTATCCCATGGTAGAAGGCAAGAGGGCAAGAGGGCACAAGAGTGCAAGCAAGCAAGAGGGAGCCAAACTTGCTTCTACAACAGGCCCATTCTCTTGATAACTAACCCACTCCAGTGATGATGCTCTTAATCCATTCATGAAGGCAGAGCCCTCAGGACCTAATCACCTCTTATTAGGCCCCACCTCCCGCACTGCTGCGTTGGGAATTACGTTTCTAACATGTAAACTTTAGGGGAACATATTCAAGCCATAGCATTAAGGGTTCCTTAACAAAGAAGTTTTACAATGATCAGTGCTTGAGGGCTTTATGTTCCCGGATTTGTGCCATCATTTAATCCCTTTTCAGTTATTTTATTTTTCAGCATAAACTTATTTTTAGTAAAGTTTATGCTGAATTACTGGAGAATCTTTACAATGAAGAAGTCATCAGTTAAGAAAATCCATCTTCTGACTGATATCTTCTGAGTCAATAATGAAGATGTAATGGTTTTGGGGGAAAATAGGACCTAGTTGCCTGGGAGGCAGAAATATTCTAAATATTCTGCTAAGTGAAAATCAATAAGCTAATTCTGTTTAAACAATAAAAGTAGACAAATAATCTTGCAACCTTGTGGACCCTTTGGCTAGTCTAGTCTAGTAAAATTAATTTAGCTTTTACATTTCATTTATTTTGATGTTTTTCCACTTTAGTATTTTGACCTCGCTTTAGCTTGTTATGTTCTATCTTAAGTCTCAGATTGTTTTCACACTGTGCTCCATTGAGCCCTGGAAGGTCTGTGGAGCCTCCTTCAGGCAGTTGGGAGTGCATAGGGAGGAGCAGACAGGCTCTGCCACCCCATTCATCCCAAGAACAGCTCCAGCTTCATCTGAAGCAACTCTACATTTGAATGGTTTGTTTGTTCCCATTTCTGCTTAAGCTCTTAATTGAACAAAGCTGACTTGAAAACCTCTGGTGTTACCCAGTGACACCAAAAGAAGCAAACATTTTGGACGCTTCAGACAGATTTCTAGATCAGTACATGGATGGTCCCAGATAACATTATTTTTTGATTCTGTTGTCATCTGATTTCAACTACAGTTACAGGTGTGTTGTGAAAAACATATAGTCAAGTTAATTTGCGGGCATAGGACTTTTGTTTTTCAGAGATAGATATATAAACTGGTGTATCTTTGAAAACTTTCACCTTCATGTCCACCATCTGTTCTTTATTTCATCATGTCTTCTGGGGCTGTAAAGGAAACAAAATATAAATTCTTTAAAGAAAACCACGCTTTTGGTTTCTTCTACCTATAGCTGCTGAGGTGCTGATAATATTGAATGGTTACTATAAGAAACAATAAACTTTTACTAAGAAACATAACATTTATATTTGAATCCACCAACTCAGCCTTTTCCTGTTTGAACCTCCATTTTTCATGCTGGAACTGTTTGGACATAATTCATGTTTTATTGACTTAATTAGGTAAATGTGACTTTTATTGTGACATCAGTGGATTGCCATTCAAAAATGGTAATTTCAAGTTTTAGGTTTCTTAGTTGCATTTCTGCTTTCAATTCTGAGGTTCTTTTAAGAATACGTTATATTTTTTCTTAAGGACTGGTTTTTATAGCATTCAAGATACCAACTTTCATTAGCCCAGAAGAAACGAAATTTCCAATTTTGTCGATACAATGAAGTTTTGTTTTATTTAGCACAGTCTCTCACTATCACCCCATTGCACACACATCCAGATATACACATCAACTGATTTGACTTTGGTAACTCACTGAAGATACAGTCGCACTGCAGCAGAGTATTTTAAAATAGTGATGTAGGTTACAACACAGTATCTTTTATTCCTTGTAGTCACATCTCCTGGAATTCTGTGCTGATGTAAATCAAGAAGTTCCTGGTTTGGTGAGCAGGATCTTAAGATAATTTATTGGGCACTTGGTGAATGGTGAACCACTTGCCTGCCATAGGGTCAAAAATGTCTTAAAACCAGCTTGACTAGAGAGAGAAGCTTTCACAGTGATTTTATAGCCTTCAGAATATTTTTTAATCAAGCTTTCTCTTCCTTTTCCTCTTTTAGGATCACCCAGCACATGTGGTAAAGGGCAGACACGGTAAAGGGAATATTATAAGTTTTATTAGAAGAGCTGGCAGCCTGGGATTTGTCTCGGGATGTTTCATCTCATCTTGTAAATTCTTAGCATGTCATGGTCTTTAGCATGCATTTATAAATACTGTAGAAAACCCAATTTCCTTGGTACCCCACATCAGAACTCAAAAACTCTTCATTTATAATCCAGCTAAGGGGAAGCAGGCAATCTTCACCTTTCTCAGGGATATCTTTGTGCATACAGGGTCTGGTCTAACTCAGGCAGCCCAAGAGGAAAGGAAGGAATCTTTTGTCATGGTGTCAAATGTGGCTATTCTGAGCCACCCTGCTCTGAAGGCCTGGTGGTGGATTTGAATTTGCTACCTGAGTACATTTCGAAGTCTTTTTTAATATTCAATCTTGATATCATAATTTATATCTAGCTCACTAGTACAGATGGCTATGGTACGGTGATTTCACAGAAAGTAAATAGAATGCTAATTTGTTACACAACCTCTTTGAAAATAAACATTTTTCCGGAGTCTCGTGTGACTTCTTTTCTGTTTCTTATAAAGGAAATTAAAACAAACAGACAAATAGAATCCTAGTCACTTACAAGAAGATTAATTTAGGCCTGGATGATATTTGGGGAAAACAGATTACAAATA